TTTTTTTTTTACATATCTAGCTTCTCCAAAGGCATCATATCTCCAATTGACACAAGGATTTCTCCGATTTGCTGAACTTAGTCAATGAAATGGGCAACATTGTCATCAAAGTTGTTCCTAGAGAGGTCTAGGTACTCCACTTTGGAGTAGTTGTAAAGGGGTGTGGAGAAGTCACCAGGGATGAAATTGAAGCTGAAGTCAAGGTTTGTGAGGTCACGGATGAAGGGTGGTATTGTAAGGGTGATGTTGAAGTGGGAGAGAGTGAAGCTAGTAATTGAGCCAGTGGTGCATGTGATCTTTAGCAAAGAAGAGTGAGAGAGGAAAGAAGGGTTCTGCAAGTATTACTTTATGTTTAACAAAACTACACATTCATGATCATACAGATCAGATTGTGAGGTTGGTGGAAAGGATTGTTATTTGGGCTCAATTATGGTTGGTACTTGGTATTGACTATTGATTAAAGAGCACCAAATTCTTCAATCTAGTTGCCAAATTGCTTTACATATGATCTCAACCAAACAACCAATTTCAAAAGACTAATAAAAAATAGTCAAATACATACCCAAAACAACATTAATAACATCCTACAATACTTTTTCTTCCTAGATATTAAAAATGAAAGAATATATATAGTTCCAGCTATGATTTCATCTTCATCTATTGTTTCACTTGACTTCATTAATTTCCAGCGCGTAAAGTAGCTATATATAAAAATGTACAATCCAGACCATGAAACCATTTCTATGACTCAAATAGCATACTTCCCAGTTCCCATTTCCAACAGAGCAATTAAGATCAACAACATAGAAATTATAAATTTACAAATTACAATAGGGCAATTGAGATCAGTAAAATTTACAACTCACAATTTAGAAATTACAAATTTACAATATACTGAATTCTGATGAACAGAGCAATTAAAATTAATAAAATATAGGGAACTTTTACTAACTAGGTTGTGTAGGAACAGAAGCTTAGGCTTGTGGCTGGCTATGTAGTGTGAGAACACAGAAATGTGACCACTTCAATGGATTGAATTAAAAAGTATAAAACATAGGATCAGATTATGAACCTCTTATCTCTCTCTCAAAACCCATTAACAGAATTATCGGTAATGGATTGGGATTTGGGAATGATCTCTCTCTCTTAACTTCTTAAAAAATCATATCCCTCTCCATCAAATCCTTCAATCAAAAAGAAAGCGGTCATTCTCTTATTACTTCGAAAATTACTTCAAAAATAATTAATTTAATATTAAACAAGTCTTCCTATTTTATTTTAAAAACCTAGTTTCTTTTGCTCACAAATTCACATTTTCCTTTTTATAAAATTTCTATTAAGCTGCATTTAGAATTAGTTCAATTAAAAAAAATTATTTTTAATTTTTTTTATAAAGTAATTAAATTCTCAAATCATTGTATTTAGAAAAATTGTTAGCAAGTATATATTATACCATTCAAGTGATTGTTACTAACAACTCACAGCACATCACACATTGATGTATTATAACGTGAAATAATGATATAAGATTTACTTATTTTAATGTAACCAATAACATATTAATTATTTTTGTTATCATTAGTATAAAAAATATTTCTTTATTATTTATTGTTAATGGACTAATTTATTTGATATTATATATAAAGAGACTAAGAGAGAGGATTATCTATTTTTCTAAACTTTCGTTCATATTCCATTGTTTTGGATATTATTTATAAGACTCCGATGTATTTGACATTGAGTACATGAATTTGAACACATTGCCATGTAAATCTTGGAAAGCAAATCGATTATTAAATTATGTCAGAGATCTTCCGAAAACTTTGTAGTAGTTTTTGTCACGACATGCTATTCTCTTTCATTATTTTTTATTAATATTTTTTAACATGTAATTTTGAAAGGATAACACTCGTGAAAATATATCACGAGCCATAGTAATAGAGTGTCGATATATATCATAAAAATTCAGTAAAAAAACAAGAAAATAAAGGCATAACTTACAACGAGGAAAATTTAACAGCAAAAGCATAACATACAGCCAAGTAAGCCTCGTACTTTGTATTCTATTCAGTTTAAAAAGCAGATCACAGATAAGAAAATATTCGCGGCATCATAAATAGAGAAAAAGCAGAAAATTTCATACTGGGTTAAGCATCCAATTACTTTAAAACATGATTTCAGAGATAGGGATATACAATAGGTCAAAAAATGTTTCATAAAATTAAAAATACAGAGTTGATTTGCTGTTAATATTCATACTATAAATTATAAAAGTTTCATATACAAAATACACAAATTAAAATATAAATACGACGAGTACATCAAACTTCTACTTATTCCCATCAATGGTTACAAACAATACAGGAAATATCAAACTATAAACCAAAACTAATGAACATGTACCCTCATGCCTCTACAGCAAAATGTTACCTACGACAAAAATTTGGACCATTAATCAAATTTTCTCCCACATTTAATTATTGTACAATAACTAACCAATGTTTGTGATTTGGCTGAATGTTGGCTGTAGAGGATCTATATTGGAATTAAGTATTTTTTATCAATATCCTTATTATACTCACAATCAGTTAGCTCTACTTCTTGCAAAATCAAAAAGAGTGTTAGGGTTTTTCTTATGTCAAGAAATATTGGGAAGTTGTCGAAGCTTCTAAATAGAGGGAGAGACGTTGGTCGATCAGGTGAAACGTTTAAGGAAGAGGTTATGGGCCCTCGTTATCCTCTCTGGTACGTAATCTCCTTGAGGAGGGTGTTATGTCCTTGAAATATGAAGGTGGTGATTGTCTCCTTCCTAAGTTTATTATTGCTGAATCAACCTTTGTGAAACTATGCGAACCATGAAAATAATGTCTGGTGGTGAAATTGTTGGGGAAGAACATTGGTTTCATTATTATGCGGAGCTGGTTGTAAACGCTTTGGAATGGATATATCACATGGCTATTTCATGGTGAAATTTGATCTTGGTGCCGATAGGGAGTTATAATGCAAGGATGTTTGTAGATGCTTTTTGATCATTACTTGACTATTAGACAATGGTCATCGAAGATTGTGGCATTTGAGGTAGGGGAGGATAAAACCCTTGTATGGGTATGCTTTCCAGGGCTAGGCATAGTGTTTTATGACGAGAGTGTTCTTCTTACTATAGTCTCAACGATAAGAAGGCCTATTAAAGTCGATCTCAACACCCTAAACCCTGAACCTCTATAAATCGGTGTTAGGTAAGTTTAATCTCAACAATGTATGGTAGAAAACAGAATACAAAGGCTTACATTTACTTTGTACCATGTGTGATTGTTACGGCCATGTTGCCCATGTGCGTGCAACTCCTTTTGCAACGACGAAGAAGAGTACAAGGTAAGGAGACAATGACAAAGGGAGGAGGTTTGTCAACGTTGAGTGGAGATGGCAGCATTGATGAAAAGATAGAAGAAGAGTGATCATGAGATCCAAGATGTTTCGATGAATTCGCTACAACCGCATAAGGATTGATTGATTGTGAAACAAAAATCACGGGAACAAAATGAAAGCA